CCCGGCCCCGCCCCTCACAACCCTCCACCTCGCCGCGACGAGCCCCCAAGGAAGGGAAACACAATCACAGCAAATTTGAGGTGGCAAATTGATCGCAGTGATGAGAGGCGGCCTTGACTCTTGGCTTGCGGGAGAGGGAGAGCGCGGCGCCAGACCCTCTCGGAGAAGAGAGTCCGGCAGGCCTATGGCCGGGAGGGCGGAGAGACCTCTCTCAGTAAAGCTGTTAGCAGAGCATCACGTCGAGGGTAGCCGCCCGTCCACTGGAAGCGTGGGGGGTTGCTGCGAGGAGGTGGGACGTAGCGGCCAGAATTCCTCGCCACTCGTCGCGATCGCGGCCCGCAGGGGTTCGGGACGAGCGGCGTTCGGTGATAAAAGTCCCTGTGTCGAGTCTGTCGAGCAGCACCAGCAGAGCGGCCTGTCAAGCGCCGTCGCAACGCGGTAAATATTTTATTGTTATTTTTAGGACGCGTCGGCAGCGGGGGAACTACCATCTTCTGCCGCCCCCCGGCGCGGTGCGCGCACCTACGAGCTACGATGACGTGCTTTTGTGGCTTGTGACGTTCGAAGAGTTTTTCGGTCCCACGTTATTAAGAGTCATCATGCTGCCGTCCCTTGGTACAAAATACCCAATGGCACGAGAGTCCTCATTACGGTGGTTTATTGAAATCCCCAAATTGATTAGATACATGTGGAAGTGCTGGTCAGCTGTGGTATTCCTGGTCTGACGGCGCCCCGGCGCCCCTCACCACAACAGCCCAACAACAACGTCATCGTGTTGCTGTAAGGCTCCACCAGCCGGATGCGTCCGAGGCGGTCCGAGGCAAGCGGGTATGGAATGCCGGCCGTCGGGCCGAGAGGTTGGGACGGAATGTCGATTTGGGAATTCGTCGAAATGCACGAGCGGTCGGCCGTAACTGCATTCACTTGTACTTTCGACACGCGGACTTTGCGCCTGAATCATACAAGCAGCAGCCCCACGACTCGAGCTACGTACGGCGACCCTTACACGACGAGCGCAAATAATGACTAGCGGCGGGTAAAAAGGTTTGTCAGTACGTTTACATTTCTGCCTCCAAATGAGAACTTAAATGAGTGGGGAGGCGGGTATGAACCATCGAAAAGTAGCGAGCATCGCGTGTGTGTTTTGTCCCCGTTTGGTCCGCGCCGTGCTACCCCACAGGGCTGCTCGTCCACTCAGAAGGGACGCGGCCCCGGCGGCGAGCCTCCCCCGCCCGCCCCGCCCCGCGCGGGTCTGGAGACGAGGCGGGACGGCTAGCCGAGGAAACGAGGTTACGAGAACACTTTCTCTGTCAACGACCTAGCGGGGGTTTGGCG